AATGCTTATCACCTTAAACACTAAAGTTGCATCTTACTTCATTACTGTAACATATTTATGACACCATTATATTTTGTATACAATGCTGAGATACTAAAACTAGAAAACGTGCAATGCTTTCTTCTGAGATGTCCATTTGGTCCCCTCGTACTTCTCGTCTACATGCTGCCCCTCAGTATTATCATGTGAAAAGTGGTGGTATGTGCGTTGCTGATGACATCTAGCCGCATCTCACTCGACTCCCTCCCCTCCCTCTGTCTCCCTGTCTCCCTGTCTCCCTTTCTCTCTTTCTCTCTTTCTCTCTTCGGGCATACTAGTTGTCTGCCAGCCAGTGCAGGATGAGTAGAATTTTTCTAAAAGTAAATATTAGTTAGCCACCAACTGTATCCTATATTGTGGCAATTAAATGAGGCTGTGAAGCAGATTGTTCATAACCTTGGTATCCTATTTAATTTTGAGATGGCCTGACTATATGTGTACCTACTTCTACCTCTGTAACATCTCTGTTGCATTTGCAACTGAAATCCTCTATCGTTATTTCTTCAGACCTGACTAACCTAATGCACTCTTCCCAGGTCTCCCTGCTGCTGTTATTATTAATTTAAGGTGGTTGGAAACTCTTGCCAAATCCTTGCTCTCACCATGCCCCATTTACCCTTTACCCAGAGTGTCTGCTGACTTACACTGGCCTCTGGTTATGCTATCTGAGTGTTACATTCTTTAACTTTAGTTTGAAACGAGTCCATGCTGTTACCCCTCCCTATCTCTAATCTCCAAACCTGCAATTCTCTGACATCTATGATTCTAGTCTCTCTCGAGCATCTCCAATTTTTACCACTCTGTTGATGGCTACATCTTCAGCTGCCCATCCTACATTCTGGAATTTGATCCTTAAGCCTATCCAACTCTTCCGTTCATTTAACACTGGTTGAAATTTACCTTCTCAGTGCAGCTGCCCTCATCTCTTTGTGGTTTAGCGTCATATTTTGTTTGATTACTCTTCTGTGAAATGCCTTGGGATATTTTTACCGTATCAAAGGAGCTATATAAATAGAAATTCTTGTTGTTGTCTAACATAGCATCTTCAGGATGTTCAGCAGTAATGCAGCATAGCAATAGGAATCATGTGTTCTGGACTGGAAACGATGCCTTTCATGTGTGTCTTCATAGGAATTCATCTGTTTCTAAGAAAGCCTGGATATAAATTGCTAAACTTTTTTATTTTCGACATCAAATTAACATGGAGTCAAAGCAAATTCCACTTAACTTTATTGTAGTCCTTTCCCTGAAAAAGGTGCAAAATTAATAAACCTTATGTGATGTCTCTTTTGTAGACTAGCACACTTTTTTGGCACACCTTTTTCTCTGGAAAACTTTGAATTGCTGGACCTGATTTCCTGAATTTATTGCTTCCAGCTTGGGCCAAGAGTAGTATCTCAGTTCATTTGTATTTGCTTGTCTGAAGGTCAAATGTATTCTTGCAGGTGGATGTGAATTGATCATGGTCCATTCCAAGGTGTGAATATTAGTTTACTTGCACCAAAATAATGATTTGCTTATAAATCTGTCCTGTTTATTAGGTATACAATGAGAAAAATACTCCTATAAAAGTTTAAAATAAGACTGAATTCGGAAATCTCTGTGGTTTGTCTGCCTTTACACATGCTGCAATATTCATTCTGGTGTCTTTTCAAACTTCTGAAAATTTTGCATTTCTTTGAAAGACAACCTTTAAACATCGCAAAAGGTTTCCTTGGAGTACAGACAATTCTGCAATATGTTTGAAGACATGTTTTTCCTTCATGGTAATTAAACCAATTCTACTCTGGTCTTTATCACCACATGCTGCAGGGTCTAATAGTTTTCCTTTTGCCACTAAGTGCAAAACTCCACATTCAGTTTTTAGATTCAGTTTTTGCCTAATGAAAGTTAAAACCCAGTTAGAAGAGAGATGAGCACAGAATGATTTTCCAAATAGATTTGACCTCAACATGTAACTAAAGACTTTATACTCGTCTATGGTAGTGAAAAAGCTGAGCATTTTATATTTCTTTAAAGCAAAATGGCTTTCAGTGCAGAATGACAATGTAACCTGGGTATCATACATCCTTTTTTAATACATTCCTAAGTCCATGAAGATACCACTATTTAATTTGAATTACTACTTCTATTTTCAAATAGGCTAAATTATCAATATACATAAAGTAACATTCTAGGAAAGCGGATGATTTACGTGAACATTGATTTCGTTTCTAAAACGTTACTGCCTCTTTAGGTGTAATTGTGTTAAGAATACATTAACATGCCTCCTTTGAGTATACTGACCGCATCTCCATCTTAATAAATAATGCCCGGCATTCATCCCATTTCCACTAAGTTGCATTTGTGTATTGTTATGGAAATCTGCTGTGGGTAATTCAGTCTCCTGACTTCTGTGTTATAGTAGTCAATAAGCCTGGTTTTAAATATCCATACAAACTGATATCAAAGTGATTTAAATAGAAACCTTATATTGACCTGAAGCTTTTTAAATTGTTCATATTTTCTTCTCAAAATGTAACTCTCTCTTTAAATAATTAGAGCATTTTGAGTACAACCCTACTATAAGAAGGTCTGACTGTGAAATAAAATATTCCTTAGTGTTATCAATTTTAAATAAAGCTAGGTTTTGTACATAACTGGCAAGATGGAGTTTCTAAACTTATTATGTAAAACTCATTGCACATAATTGATGTATGAACGATTTTCTACAAGTTCCTGTAAGTCTTAAATTAGAATCTGGTTTAGATGTGCTTCTTAGTACAGATATAAATTACCAGCCGTGTAAATGATTTGTCAATGCTAACCTCTGGAGGATATGACTATCATGGTGTTACACGTTATAGTCACTCAGTTTCCAGAGGTATTTCTAAATAAGAGGGTCAGGGATCTTCTCAGTGTAATTGTTATATTTTTTTTTTAGAAAAGAAATTGCATCAAGTGAAAAATAGATTAGCATTGTGTGAATAAAAAGGTCAACTTATTGTATATCATCACTGCTCTGACATCATTACTGACTGTCAGGCAATGTCGATTTTGCAATGTTGACACTTGCTAAGATGCCTGGTGAAGTGTCCCATCTGAGCTAGCTACTTGAAACACCAGCTTTAAAAGTTTGTTTATGAAGAGTCCTCTATTCTTGTGTCTTGAGCCACAAGCAGATATATTGCTGGAAAATTCAATCTGTGATATTCCGTCTGCAGGATTTAAAACATTATTGCTTTTCCTTCCTCTGCAACATTCTGGATAGCATGCTAAGTGGATATAGTCTGGTGTTGGCATACTTTTTAAATCCCAATGCCATATTAGGAACAGAAGTTTGCTATTTCATCTTCCGACTTGTTACACCAATCAGTTACGCAGTGACAGACATGTAACTTAACTTAATTTTTCCATTCCTGATACATATCTTTTGATATTCTCCCCCAATAAAAATCTATTAATATATTTTTAAAGTTTCAGTTGACACTGGATTTGTAGCCTTTTAAGAAATTCTAGAAGTCCTAGAAATCCAGGAGGCTTTTTGAGAACATATTTCCAGAGTTTACTGCTGAATAGACTAGATCTAATTTTAACAGGTTTCCTGTTGACCTGTATTTTTTTTTCCTCTAGTTAAATAACTGTTTTCTGCAAATACTTCATTGAATCACTTACCTTTTAATACCCATACCCCATCCAAAATTTAAATCAAGGAAAAAGGTACGAGTTTATGTAGTCTGTTCTCATGGCTCAATTCTTTGAGCCTTGTTATTGTTCTGATGAACTTTCATTGCACGTTTTCTAAAACCAATATATTATTCCTGAGAACCAGCTCTTAAAACTGAATGCAGCACTTCAGATGGGATCTGCACTACTGAAGCAACATTTCCTCACTGTTGAATTCTAGCCTTCTAGAGATAAAAGGCCATGTTGCAGTAGCTTTTTTTGATAACATTTTATTGCTGTACAGTAATTTTTAGTGGTTTATGAATGTAGATCTCTAAAGCCCTTTGCTCCCTCACATGCAGTTCCACACCATTAAGAATATAGTCTAGTATGTTTTATTTGAATGCAAAGAGTGTGACCACTCACAACGCTCCATTGAATCCAATCTGTCAAAGTTTTACCCACTTGACCCATTCACATCAACTGTCTAGATTTTATTTTAACTTCTTCCAGCTGCAAAATTGACTCTACCTCGTAACCTACTATCATCTACAAAGTTGGACACAGAGCTAAATAATCCTTCATTTAAGTCAATATTATACAGAATGAGAAGCTGCAGACTCTGTGCAGACACATGAGGAACATTGTTTGTCATGCCTCACCAGTTGGAGTATATTCCTTTTATTCCTCTCCTCTCCTCTCCTCTCCTCTCCTCTCTTTTCTATGTCGCAACTTATGCCACAAGTTGCCTCCAATTCTGTACTTATTGCAGCGTATTGATGTGCAAAGAGGTATTTATCTGATTAATTATTAAAGGTTCTTTTCTGCCACAAAAATATTTTCATAAAATAATAGACATTATTCCATGCAAACAAATATTTATTCTGATGTGGTTATGTTCTGATTTCTGTTTTTGTTGCAATTTTAAACTGCTTTATTCAGTATGTTAACCAATTTGTAGCCCAAATCAGCATGAAAATCTGTGTTTTAAAAAAAAACTCTCAAAACCACTAGCATTTTTGACGTGGAAATTTAGTTGGGCCTAACGTCCTCTTTCTGAGTAGTGTTTCCTCATAATTCATTGCATGTATTAGTTTCTATTTGAATATTTTATACATTTTCTACCATTCCCATAACATAATTAATATCTTTTTCCATGTTCAGTCTGGAATAAAATGATACATAAATTTATTCTTACCTATTATACCTAGGATTCCCATGAGGATAATCAGTGTTTCACTGTATTTATGCTGCTGATGTTCGTTTTTTTTAATGCCTGATATAAAAAGTAACACAGCAATTGCTTGATTTTTCAGGTGCTTGAAGGGTAAATCTGTCAGCCCACAGACCATCGAACGAATAACAGACACGATTTCTGATCGTTTGCGGATTCCGTGGTTATTAGGTTCTGGTGCCAAGAAGATCGATATCACAATACTTCCGCCTCTTGTTTTCCTTCCAATCTTCCTTCACGTCGCGGCTCTTCACATTGTCTTAGCTTTCATCATTTTGACATCCTTGCCAATACTAGTGCTTTGGTACTATTACATCACTCACCAGAATAAAGGGCGCACTTTATTTTTTCTTAGTCTTGGCCTCTTTTCTCTGGGCTACATGTACTATTTATTCCTAGCTGAAGTTATGCCCAAAGGAAATGTCAACTTTGTACACTTAACTGTGCTCACTAGTGGTTTGGTATTAACACTCGTATGTTTAGCACAAGTCAAGAAAGATCCAGGCTACCTCAGAACAGACAACAGAACCACTCAAATTAAAGATGCTGAGACAAAATACACTTCTTCACACAGTTTGAACGGTACACACCAAGTTCAGCAGAAGGGCTGGGATATTCCCACAAAATTGAATCTATCTGGCCGCAATGGAAAGCTGCAGTTGGGACACCATGAATTGAACAAGAACTGGTGTGCAGTATGCAAGACTATAAGACCACCTCGTTCAGGACATTGTCGAATCTGTGCATCCTGTGTCCAAAGGCTGGACCATCATTGTGTTTGGTAAGTTTGGTATTGCTTAGTTACAGTAATTGTCAGATATTCTCAGACTGCCTCGAAGTGAAAGGATTGTGATATGAAACAGCAATGACCATCAACAAGTGGCAAAGGCCATGAAAAGCTTGGAACAGTGTCGTTAAGGGGTTATTATCATAGGAAACCCAAGAAAGAAAATTTTTGAACAAAGGTTTCTGAAGAATTTTGTCTTTAACAGCTTTTCAGACTAGAATTTTGCTGCAGAGTAAAACCAATTCTCAGTAATAAACTGGCTGTGCTTACGAAATACAGTTGATTTAGTTTCAAAACTACCTAGATCTTAAACTGAAATGTTTTATGTGGGAGAACTCTGTGCAGGACTTTCAATGCCAATTTATTTTACAGATTTTATTTATAGGACTTTGCTTGCTTTTATATAATCTACTGATGCTTTTTATTATAGTTACCTCATCTCAATCGCTTTTTTTTTGGTTTTGCTACCTTTATTGATGCCTACCTGCTGCTTCCTATTTTAGCTAGATTGATTGCATAGAGAAAAGATTGTAATTTCTGCATCAATCCACCCCCTCTTTGATCCAATTTATCTATTACTCAGTACGACTTTTATCTCTTCTAAAGTGCTTAACTGTATCTGATTGTTTCACACTATTCACAGATTTATTCTTGATTCTTATTATCTGCAGAAGCCCTGAAGTCAGATCTTCTCTCCTCTTTTTGATTTGATTGAGACTGTGATTTCTCACACTACGTCTCGGGCTAAGTTCACAATAGCTCCATGTATTCTCTCCACACTGTTAAACACTAAGCACTTGGTTGTCAATTCTAAGTTCTTGGTTGAAGGCTCACCAAAATTGTTTTGTTTATCTTGTGCTGCCTTATTTCTATCTCTGACTGTATGTAACCCCTGAAAATGTTTGAGGCTATTACTCAACCTCTCGATATAAGTACTTCATAGACTCCCTACAGTGTGGAAACAGGCCATTCAGCCCAACAAGTGCACACCACCCCCCCAAAGAGCATCCCACCCAGACCCATTCCCCTAACCCTGTATTTATCGTGGGCACTATGGGCAATTTAGCATGGCCAATCCACCTAACCTGCACATCTTTGGACTGTGGGAGGAAACCAGAGCACCCAGAGGAAACCCACGCAGACATGGGGAGAACGTGCAAACTCCACACAGACAGTCGCCCAAGGCTGGAATCAAACCCGGGTCCCTGGCACTGTGAGGCAGCAGTGCTAACCACTGAGCCACCATGCCACCCTAAGTACATTTTATGCAAGTGTGATTGGGGTGAAAAAGTGATGTGAATGGAATTATAATTCAAACTATTTCAGGTTGCTGCCTTCATTCGTTAATTCCTTCTGTATTAATTATATTAAATTATTTGGTTAGCTTATGTGCAATGTTTATGAAATGCTAGAATACTTGGGTCTAAAGAGATGGTTTGCTCAGTGTCTCTGGTTGGATGGGGATTACTTTCAGTAACACTTTCAATTAATCTCTTTCTTTTTAATTATAGGACATATATTTTTATGAAAACTCTTGGGTTGCATGATGTTTTATTCAAATCATTTTTATTAATTTGTTTTGTTCTGTTTGCAGGATTAACAGCTGTGTAGGTGCATCTAATCACCGTGCATTTATTCTGACCCTTTTTGTTTTCCTCCTCACCTCAATATATGGAATCAGTTTGACTTTGGACACTATATGCAGAGGGCGAAGTATTTTCACAGCTTTATTCTATTGTCCTGGAGTCTACCGTGAGTACAGGTAAGAAAAGGACAGCACTGTTACAGCCCTGCTTAAGGTTTGATTAACCCAACTAATTTGGATGCAATTTCAACTTTTGTTATTTGTCAGTAAAAATATGGTTTTAAAAACTACTCTACTTTAATCACCTCACAAAATCATAACATCAGAAGGTGGGTCCATGTGAGCATGCCCCTCCAACCCATTTGATTTCAGTTTTCTGGAATACCAACCCATCTGTTCCACCAATAAAGCAGCTAGTTTTTTTGCCTAAATTAATCAGATGTTTTGGCCTCAGCACTATACCTGCAATCTGTTCAGGCTGTTCTGTCAATTTTCCTTTTGTGTTAATCATCTTCTGTGTGAGATAATACTTAATGGATTCTTCCAAAACAACACGTCCATTGTGACTTTGAAGCTGTTCCATCTTTGTTTGCTGTGCTGTCATATTCAAAATTATTATTTGTTGTTTGTTTTAAGCCATTGAATGGTTATATGTTTCCATAAAGTGGAAACGTTTTTCATCTCAACACATTTTTTTTTTAAAAATATACCTGACTGGTCCTACTTTTTTCTATCCACTCATGGCACTTAGTGCCACTGCTTGGCCAGCATTTATTGCCCATCCCTAGTTGGCCTTGAGAAGGTGGTGGTGAACTGCCTTTAACTGCTTCAGTCCATGTGACCAACAGCGCCCTGTGGAAGAGATTTCCAGGATTTTGACCCAGCGACCGTGAAAGTACGGTGATATAAGTCAGGATGGTGAGTGGCTTGGAGGGGAAATTGCAGGTGGTGGTGATCCCATTGATCTGCTGCCTTTGTCCTTCTAAGTGGAAGTGATCATGCATTTGGAAGCTGCTGCCTAAGGATCTTTTGGTGAATTTCTGCGTCACATTTTGTAGATAGCAACAGCAACAGCAGCAGCAGTGTGTGCTGAGCGACAGTAGTGGAGGGAGGCAGCTTTGTCCTGGATGGTGTCAAGCTTCTCGAGTGTTGTTGGAGCTGCACCCATCCAGGCAAGTGGGGAGTATTCCATCGTACTCCTGACTTGTTCCTTATAGATGACGAACAAGATTTGGGAAGTCTGGAGGTGAGTTACTCACCACAGTTATTCCTAGCTTCTGATCTGCTCTTGTAACCACTGTATTTATAAGGTGAGTCCAGTTGTGTTTCTGATCAATGATAACACCCAAGATGTTGATATAGTGGGGGATTCAGTGATGGTAACACCATTGAATGGTGGTTAGATTGTCTCTTATTGGAGATGGTCATTGCCTGGCATTTGTATATTTCTTGCCAGTTGTCAGCCCAAGCCTGGATATTGTCCAGATCTTGCTGCATTTGAACATGGACTGCTTACGCATTTGTGGAGCCACTAAGTCTTTCTCTTGGCTCACCCCATGGCATGGGATCAATCTTAAAAATGCTTCTGTTGCATCGCTGCTGGCATCTGAATATTTCCCTTGTACTGAAGCAACCTGTATTGTACACAATGCAATTCTACTGCCAACACAACATAAGCAGCCTCAGTGTGAATTCTTCAGATTTGAATTCAGTGTGTATGGGAACCTATTCTGCTATTCTCTTTTCCATGCTTATTGTCCCACATTGTATAGATAAGGTAAGTGAGGTGTTTGTCAATACTGTGATACATCTGCCAGCTTTCCACTCTTGGAGAATATTTGCCTCTTTGCTATTTCCAGTATGCAATACCTTGCAGTTGGTCACATTGAATTTCACTTGCTTCTGATTAGCCCAAGTTCAAATCCTCAAATGACCCTGAGATTCTAGTTGCTTGCCGCTTCAACACATCATCTCATTCCCTGGCCAACATCTCCTCTGTCTTATCAAAAACAGAAGTTGCTGGAAAAACTCAGCAGATCTGGCAGCATCTGTGAAGGATAAAAACACAGTTAACGTCTCGGGTCCGGTGACCCTTGAAGGGTTAGCATCTGCCAGACCTGCTGAACATTTCCAGCAACTTTGTTTTTGTTCCTGATTTACAGCGACCACAGTTCTTTTGGTTTTTATCTCTGTCTTAACCTTGCTCCAGTGCAGCTCAGCGCAAGTTGGAAGAACAACACCTTATTTTCGCTTGGGAACTCCACAACCTTCTGGACTCAATATCGAATTCAACAATTTTAGGGCTTGAGGTACCCTCTCCCATGTCCTTACCTCAGCTTTTGGATTTAAATTATTTGTTTGAAGTATTTTCCACAGGTT